CTGGAGATTTTAAGAAGAAACTGGACATTCACTTGTCTGAAATGGTATAGGTCCATATAGGACATAGGTTGAGCAGGGGGCTGGACTAGAAGACCTCCAAGCTCCCTTCCGGCTCCTATTCTATTCTATTCTATTCTATTCTATTCTATTCTATTCTATTCTATTCTATTCTATTCTATTCTATTCTATTCTACCGTACCCTACCCTACCCTACCCTACCCTACCCTACCCTACCCTCAGCTTGGTTGGTGTTAACCTCATTTTTTGTTTATATGTTCCATGTTTTGGGAACACAGCCCATTTAATTAGTTAATAGGTCTGGATTTTCCTTGAAGATGTTTCGCTTCCCATCCAAGAAGCTTCTTCAGCTTCTTGGATGAGAAGCGAAACGTCTTCAAAGAAAAACCAGAAAGTCCAGTTGCCTCTTGAAAAAGCACCTTTGGGACAACCATGACCTGGTTGGCTGAGAATCTCCATAGACGATAGGTCAGTGTATTGTCCAACTCCCCAAAAGGGGTTAATTCAGTACCCCAGTTCATCACGGTCTGTGAATCCAGCTAGCTGCGTGACACATTCTTCACTGCTGCCTTATTTGCAAGGTCTCATGAGCCATTCCCCAAAATGTAAAATGTGCCCGCCGGCCAGGGGTGAAATCTACTTACCTTCCTTACCAGTTCGGAAGTGCATGCGCCATGCGCATGCACACCTGTGCATGCACAAAACCTTCTGCACATGCGCAGAAGGTAAAAAAAAATATTACTTCCTGATTAAAACCAGGAAGTAATGACATCCGGATGACGATCGCCACTGGATCGCCGAACCACAGGGAAAAATCGCTACCGGATCGGGTGATCCGGTCCGATCCGGGAGCATTTCACCCCTGCTGACGGCTATGAAAATGTTACACAGCCCTGAGTTGCTGACTTTTTCATTGCATAAAGCCCAGTTTAATTGAGCTCACCCAACCCGTTAAGGCAGAAATCATACAAAGTGTACAACGACACAACATCCAGCCGTAGAACACACACACAAAAAAGCCTGCTCAACAACAGGTTGGTACAACAGGGATGCACCAGCATCTATCAGACTGTTCTAATGAATGGGCTGATAGTTTTGAAAGAGAGAGAGAGAGAAAAAAAAAAAAACCAGAGTAGGCGAAAAACAGAAATATGACTCCATCTGCATTACTAAACCACTTTCCTAAAATACTCCAGATCCAACACCAAGACAGATTGGCATTAAGCATGCTACCAAGTGAAGGAGAAAAAGAGTGAATATGAATATGTGTTCCTTCAGCAGGCCCTGTTACAGGAATCACTGGCAGGGAATACATTGGTGGACCGCATGGGTGTTTTTGTGGTACAAACCAGGGGTGAAATGCTCCCGGTTCGGACCGGATCGCCTGATCCGGTAGCGATGGTGGCTGGTGGTTCGGAGAACTGGTAGCAAAAATCCCTGCATGCCCCCTCCCCCCCATGCCCAGCTGAGCTGCACAATCATCAGAGGCTTTTTTTTTTTTGTACTTTTAAAAGCATTTTTTCTACAACCTCTTCTGACGAAAAAATGGTTTTAAAAGTAAAAAAAAAAAAGCCTCTGATGATCGCACAGCTCAGCTGGGATCGCCAAAGGCTTTTCAAAGCATTTTTTTCTGCAACCTCTTGGTCGAAGAGGTGGTAAAAAAAATGCTTTGAAAAGTCTCTGACGATCCCAGCTGAGTTGCCGGATGGGGGAGGCTTTTCAAAGCATTAGGAAAAATGCTTTGAAAAGTTTTAAAAAAAAAAAGTTGGCCATGCCCACCCAGTCACATTACCCCCCCCCAAGTTACGCCCACAGAACCAGTAGTATTTGGAATAAATCTGGAACAAACCCTAAACATACAGGCAGTCCTCAACTTACAACAGTTCATTTAGTGACCATTCAAAGTTACAACGACACTGAAAAAAGTGACTTATGATCGTTTTTGACACTTATGACCATCGCAGCATCCTCCCAGTCACATGATCAAAATTCAGACACTTGGCAACGGACTCATATTTAGGACGGTTACCGTGTCTTGTGGTCATGTGATCCGCTTTTGCGACCTTCTGACCAGCAAAGTCATGGGAAATCCAGATTCACTTACCCACTGTATTACTAACTTAACAATTGCAATGATTCACTTAACAACGGTGGCAAGGAAAGTCGTAAAATGGGGTAAAACTCACTTAACAAATGTTTCACTTAACAATATAAATTTTGGACTTCATTGCGCTTGTAACTCGAGGACTACTTGTATACTAATTCTATTAGACCTCTTTGGTTGCATATCAATAATATCTGGTGACCATACTGAAAATTTGGGGTGGATTTAGACTTTCAGATCAGTACGCTGGAAAAGTGCAAGTTATATAGCTTGCAGAAATGAACTCATGACCGGCCTTTTCTTCTACAGAAGAGATTCACCATACTTATTACTTTTTCTCTAATTAATCAGAACTCTATGAAAAGAAGGACTCGGGGAGACATGATAGCAGTGTTCCAATATCTCAGGGGCTGCCACAAAGAAGAGGGAGTGAAGCTGTTCTCCAAAGCACCTGAGGGCAGGACAAGAAGCAACAGGTGGAAACTAATCAAGAAGAGAAGCAACTTAGAACTAAGGAGAAATTTCCTGACAGTTAGAACAATTAATCAGCGGAACAACTTGCCTCCAGAAGTTGTGAATGCTCCAACACTGGAAGTTTTTAAGAAGATGTTGGATAACCATTTGTCTGAAGTGGTGGAGGGTTTCCTGCCTGAGCAGGGGGTTGGACTAGAAGACCTCCAAGGTCCCTTCCAACTATTCTATTCTATTCTATTCTATTCTATTCTATTCTATTCTATTCTATTCTATTCTATTCTATTCTATTCTATTCTATTCTATTCTATTCTATTCTATTCTATTCGGATTACAGCTATCTTGACCAAAGGACAAAAGTAAACTAAAAAGGAATCCTAGTCCATGGAGCCAAGCCCTTTCCTCCCCCAAAATGTGGAAGCTTTCAGCTTCACAACTAGTTGCAAATTGTTACTTTCAAGGCTTAACTTCCCCTACAGTCTTGCATTATATTGCCAGGTGCACAGCTGAATTATCAAGACAATTAAGAATTCAACATATATGTGTGAATCAGAGGAATGGGTGACCTGGGAGAATGACCATCAGATTTTGAGCAAGAAGATCTGGGTTCAAACGCAGGGACACCAATAAAGCCTATTGGCTGGGTTCCCATATCACAATTTAGTGATAGTACAAGTGCTATCCTGAATTAATACGTGGAGTACAGGTTCAGGAGAGTAATTTTGTATACCGAAGTACAAAATTATTACCTGGTCAGGAAAAAAGTTTAACTTACGGTAACCAAGTTCAGGATGTGGTGCAACTACAAGCATTGGGTGTTTAATAGATCGAGTCGTATGGATTCAGCTATTTGAGATTTCAAATCAACCACTTTTAAACTTATTCTCACCCCACCACTGGATTTTTGTGAAAAATAAAAAGGGAGGGAAGGAGGAAATCCTGGAGGAAAGGCACATAATAAACATGAAGGTTAACGATTAGGACCCACCACAAGGAAGCCATTTCCTCTCTGGAGTAGGGAGTGTGACTAAATGGAACTTGATGCTCTCAGAAGGGAGTTGACCTATTTTTACAGCATGCTCTGCTGAAGCCTTCAACAACTTTTCCCAACTGGTGGGCAGGGATGATGGCAGCTGTAGTCTAACCTCTCTCTTAGATCAAGGGTCTCCAACCTTGGCAACTTTAAGCCTGGCAGACTTCAACTCCCAGAATTCCCCAGCCAGCTTTGCTCTAAAACGAGGGTCTCCAACCTTCGCAACTTTATAGATTAATAAATTAACAAAGTTGGAAGGGACCTTGTAGGTCATCTAGTCCAACCCCCTGCCCAAGCTGGAGACCCTATCCCATTTCTGATAGATGGCAGCCCAGTCTCTTCTTGAAAGCCTCCATTTTTAAGCCTGGCAGACTTCAACTCCCAGAATTCCCCTGGCTGGGGAATTCTGGGAGTTGAAGTCCGCCAGGCTTAAAGTTGCCAAGGTTGGAGACCCCTGCTCTAGATGGCCCCAGATTTTTTTTGAGGGAGGTGGGGGTGGACTCAAGGCGGAGTATGTTGAGGGAAAGGAGGACTTTGCACTCATCTATCTCCCCTCCCCTTCCCATTTACTTCCCTGTGCCCATTGCAAAGCCACCTTGAGGCCAGAGGTCGCCACAACTTTGCAAAACAACCCCCTCCCCATCTTGAGAGCAGACAACCAACTGGGGGTCCCAAGTGGATGGGTGGGAGGGGACTCAAGAGAGGGAGAGGGGAGGGTGGGAGGGGGAGAGAGACAGAGAAACAGAGAGAGAGAAGGAAAGAGAGAGAGAGAAGGAAAGAGAGAGAGAGAAGGAAAGAGAGAGAGGGAGATAAAGAGAGAGAAGGAAAGAGAGAGAAGGAGAGAGAAGGAAAGAGAGAGAAGGAGAGAGAAGGAAAGAGAGAGAGAGAAGGAGAGAGAAGGAAAGAGAGAGGGAGAGAAAGAGAGAGAGAGAGAAAGAGAGAGAAGGAAAGAGAAGAAAGAGAGAGGAAAGAGAAGGAAAGAGAAAGAGAGAAGGAGAGAGAAGGAAAGAGAGAGAGAGGGAGAGAAAGAGAGAGAAGGAAAGAGAGAGAAAGAGAAGGAAAAGAGAGAGTGAAGGAAAGAGAGAGAAGGAAAAGAGAGAGTGAAGGAAAGAGAGAGAAGGAAAGAGAGAGGAAGAGAAGGAAAGAGAGGAGAGAGAGAAGGAAAGAGAGAGAGGAGAGAGAGAAGGAAAGAGAAGGAAAGAGAGAGAGAGAGAAGGAAAGAGAGAGAGAGAAGGAAAGAGAGAGAGAGAGACAGAAGGAGAGAGAAGGAAAGAGAGAGAGGGAGAGAAAGAGAGAGAAGGAAAGAAAGAGAGAGACAGAGAGGAGGAGGAGGAGGAGAGAGAGAGAGAGAGAGACTCCCGCGATCTCACCCACCTGCCTGGCTGGGGAGTAAGGCTGGCGCGCACAGTAGGGCGCAGAGCAGCGCCGCCCGGAGCTCCCAGAAGCGGGCCGGCGGAGCGGGCATGGCTGGGACTCCTCCGGCGGGCCAAGCCAAAGCGGCAGCGACTCGAGCGGTGCTTTTCCCAGTCACTTTGGAAACGAGGCTCGCCTGGAAAGCGCTCGCGGCAAAGGGGGAAGCGCCGGTGGCGAGCAAGCACATGCGCGCAGGGCGGAAAAAAGGAAAAGAAGAGCTGGGGGTGGGGCGGGCAGGTGAGTCGGCTGGGCGGGGCAGGGGGCTCCTCCTCCTCTGGTTCCTGCCTCCTCCACCCACCCACATACACACAAACACACACCTCAGAGAAAGGCGAAGCCGGTTGCTGGGTTTCTCTTGGGCCGTTTGGGTGGCGCTCAGCGCAGAGGAATTGGGCTGGGATGCCCGGTTCGGAGTTTAACCTGTTGGGTTACAACTCCCATAATCCACAAATAGCTGGAGGATCGGGGTGGGGAGGAGATCATTGAGACCAGTGGATTGGAGATTCTCAGTCATCCAGATCGTGGTTGTCCCAAGGGTGCTTTTTTTTACTTTTTTCAAGAGGCAACTGGATTTTCTGGTTTTTCTTTGAAGATGTTTCTCATCCAAGAAGCTTCTTTCAGATCTTTTTTTTTATAATAATTTTTTTTTACTTGAACATATCATCCTCCATTAAACAGAGTGTCCTCCGGGTATAAATATCTCTGTGCAATAACAATTAAAAATTTACAGTATTCGTTACATTGATAATAATTCTCTCATTTTACAATAATAATAATCAGCATTATAACTATTCATTTCTCCCTCTTAACGTATCTTCTACTGAAAATATATTAGGTATAATAATCTTAAATCATATTAATCATCATATTGTTTACATCTCTCTTAACATATGTTGTATATTTCACTGATTTCCATTTATTTCTCACTTCTGTTTTCATTCTCATTCTCCAACCATCCATAAAATAGCTCCCATATATTCGGTTTGTTCTTTCTTCTTTATAGCAAGTGTTAATCTGTTCATTTCTGCATAGTCTAATATTTTCCTAATCACTTTCTCATCCATAGGGATTTTGTCACTTTTTCAATTTTGTGCAAATACAATTCTAGCTGCAGTTAATACATGTATAATTAAATATGCATTTCCTTTACAAGCTTCTTTCATCTCTGAAATAGTGGTGGATTTCAACATTTTTTATTACCGGTTCTGTGGGTGTGGCTTGGTGGGGCATGGCAGGGGAAGGATACTGTAAAATCCCCATTTCCTCTCCAATCCAGGGGAAGGAAACTGTAAAATCTCCATTCCCTCCCCACTCCAGGGGAAGGTTACTGCAAAATCCCCATTTCCTCCCGATCAGCTGGGACTCGGGAGGCAGAGAATAGATGGGGGCGGGGCCAGTCAGAATTTTTACTACCTATTCTCCGAACTACTCAGAATTTCCACTACCGGTTCTCCAGAACTGGTCAGAACCTGCTGAAACCCACCTCTGCTCTCAAAGTGCATTCACTAAATGTCTATGGAGATTCTCAGTCATCCAGGTCATGGTTGTCCTAGAGCTGAAGAAGCTTCTTGGATGAGAAGCGAAACATCTTCAAAGAAAAACCAGAAAGTCCAGTTGCCTCTTGAAAAAAGCACCTTTGGGATTTAGACCAGCGGTTCCCAACCTTTGGGGCACCAGGGACCAGTTCCGTGGAGAACTGCTTTGGCATGGACTGGTGGGATCATGGTTTCGCTATTGCTGCCTGCATCCTGCAGATGGGACTTCGCTTCCTTGTGTGGTCCAGTTTCTAGCATGCAGTGGCCTGGTGCTGGTCCACGGACCAGGGGTTGGGGACCCCTGATTTAGACTGCCAAAGAGAATCAGCCAGAGTAGCGATCTTAGATTTTTGCCAGCCAAGTTTGGCTCTGACAGCTCTACCACTGCTTCCAGTCCATTTTTATGGTCTGTGACAAGGAAGGGCAATGAGATAGATCCCTTTCAGACTCGCCTTTGATCTTCCCTTGAGAATATACAGTCTGAAGAAAGCCCTGAGATCTAGCATGACACTGGGATTTGTAGTTATAGCCTGTTGGCTGGGGAATTCTGGGAGTTGAAGTCCGCACACATCTTAAAGTTGCCCAGGTTGGGAAACATTGGTTTAGAAGATCCCATGTCCAGACGGGAGATCCCACAGAAGGTTGTGGGATCTCCCGCAAAGTTTATTTGTCAAGCATATATAAGATACCAGGTAAAAGTATAAACATAATTTGAATACATGAAAAGAGTAAGTAAAAAGGAATATTAGGACAGGGATGGTAGGCATGCTGGCGTGCTTATGCGCGCCCCTTACAGACCTCTTAGGAATGGGGTGAGGTCAACAGTAGACAGTTTAAGGTTAAAGTTTTTGGGGTTTGGGGAAGAAACTACAGAGTCAGGCCAGTTCCAGACAGATAACTAGGTACCAGCCAATCAACCAGACATTGTGGTAGTTGACAAGGACCAGAACAGAATAATAGATTAACAGAGTTGGAAGGGACTTTGTAGATCAGTGATGGCTAACTTTTTCTGGACTGAGTGCCCAAAGCGCTCCCCCCTGCATGCACTCTCCCCACATGCGCCCCACCCCCCTGCATGTGTGCATCCCCCCGCATGCTCCCCCTGCATGCATGGCAGAGACCCGAAGACGGCATGAATGTGTGGTGGAGCTGATCTGGGGTGACAGCTCGCGTGCCCACAGAGAGGGCTCTGTGTGCCACCTCTGGCATGTGTGCCATGTGTTCACCATCACAGTTGTAGGTCATCTAGTCCAACCTCCCTATACCATTTCTGACAGATGGCCCCTACACCAGGAGACCCTACACCAGTGATGGCTAACCTTTTTGCCATCGCGTGCCAGGAAGGGGGGGGCGGGGGAAGTTCACGCGTGTGTGTGCCCACATCCATAATTCTACGTGCCCCGCCCCACCCCCGCTTCTGACACGCGATGGCCCAGTAGGCCTGTTTTTCTTTCTCACCTGGCTCCAGATCCTCTCTATGCATCTGGGGAGGGCAAAAACAGTCTTCCCCACTCCCTCGGAGGTCCTCTGGAGGCCCAAAAGGGCCCGTTTTCCAACTTTCGGTTAGACAGGAAGTGACTTTTTTGCTGTCCCCAGCCTCCAGAGTCTCCTAGAGAGGCTGAGAGCTGAGCCGGCGTGCCAGGCAACATGGTTCCGTGTGCCACCTGTGGCACACATGCCATAGGTTCACCATCACGGCCCTTCACCATTTCTGACAAATAGCAGTCCAATCTCTTCTTGAAAGCCTCCAGTGATGAAGCTCCCACAATTTCCGAAGGCAACTTCTGTTCCATGGGTTGATTGCTCTCACTGTCAGAAAATTCCTCCTTATTTCCAGGTTGAATCTCTCCTTGACTAAAAGACAGCAATGGTGATAAATATAGAGATGCCAAGTGACAGCAACATCAGGAGGAAGGAATCTGAGAAGCTGGAGAAGCTACCAGGGCCTGAAGGAGGAACTAGAGAAGATGTGGAAAGGAAAGGCCAAAGGGGACCCAGGGGTAATAGCAACACTCCTGTGACTCCTAAACTGGGGAAAATGGCTCCAACAGATCCCAGGAACAACAACATAACCTGACTAGGTGGCTCAGTGGCTAAGACACTGAGCTTGTCGATCAGAAAGGTCGGCAGTTTGGCGGTTTGAATCCCTAGTACAGGTCTCTTGCGTGGACAGGGGGTTGGACTAGATGACCTCCAAGGTCCCTTCCAACTCTGTTACTGTTATCATGTTATATAAGAGCTGTCTGTCCAGAAGAGTGCAGTGATAGGAAGAGCTGAGATCCTGCACAGAACCCTCAAACTCCCAGGCCTCTGGTAGAGCACCCGAGATTGAGGAAGTCACATACAGGTAGTCCTCGATTTACAACAGCTCATTCAGTGGCCATTCGGAGTTACAACGGCAGAGAAAAAAGTGACTTATGACCGCTTTTTTCACACAACTGTTGCATCCCCATCAAGAGCCTTGGTAGTACAGTGGTTTAAAGCACCCTGTTATTAAGACACCTGCCTGCAATTACTGCAGGTTCGAATCTCGCCAGGCTCAAGGTTGACTCAGCCTTCCATCCTTTCTAAGGTAGGTAAATTGAGGACCCAGATTGTGGGGGCAATAAGCTGACTTTGTATAAATATACAAAAGAATGAAGGCTATTGCTTAATGCATTGTAAGCCACCCTGAGTCTCCGGAGACGGGCGGCATATAAATCAAAAATTAAAAAAAAAAAATCATGGTCATGTGATTGACATTCAGATGCTCGGCAACTGGTTCCTATTTATGACGGTTGCAGTGCCCGGGGGGGGCTCTCACATGATCCCCTTTTGCGACCTTCTGACAAGCAAAGTCAATGAGGAAGCCGCAGGGGTGGTATTCAGTTACCTTCGCTACAAGTTCGCAAATGTGAGCGCACGTGCACGCCAGAAGAACCGGTAGTAAAAATTTGTAGTAGTTCAGAGAACCGGTAATAACATTGGCTGGCCACGCCCCTGAACTGGTCCCCGGCCCGGTCGCTGCTTGCTTATCCTGCCCACCTCATCAGAGGCTTTTTTTTTTTTTACTTTTAAAAGCATTTTTTCTACAACCTCTTCAGCCGAAAAAATGCTTTTACAAGTAAAAAAAAAAAAGCCTCTGATGATCACGCAGCTCAGCTGGGATCATCAGAGGCTTTTAAAAGCATTTTTTCTACAACCTTTTAAGGTTGTAGAAAAAAATACTTTTAAAAGTAAAAAAAAAAAGTTGGCCACGCCCACCCAGTCACATTACCCCCAAGCCATGCCCACAAAATAAGCCACGCCCACAGAATCAGTAGTAAAAAATTTTAGAACCCACCCCTGGTGCGCGCACACAGTTTGCTCGCGCACGCCACCTCCGTGCATGCACAGGCCCTTCCGCGTATGCGCAAAGCATCAAAAACGTGGATAAATGGGACGTGATGACATCCGGGCGGGTCGGCAGAGCCTCCCGCAGCCGCCGCTACTAATTCGCCTGAACCGGATAGAACTGACTGAATCCCACTACTGGGAAGCCGGATCCACTTAACAACCATGTGACTAATTTAACAGTTGTGGCGATTCACTTAACAAACGTGGCAAGAAAAGTTGCAACACGGGGCAAAACTCACTTAACACATTTCTCACTGAGCAAACCTAAATTCTGGGCTCCGTTGTAGTCGTAAGTCG